TTATGTTAGTGATAATGATGAAGTAATAATATTGTGGTGGAGATTAGAGACAACGATTTTCCCATAATAATTGAGTGACAACGGTCAAGATGGTTGAGAGATGATTGTCAAATAATTGTGTTCGAGCAATGGTGGTTAGGCAAAGCTAGTTGAAAAATTATGGTCAAGCTACAATAATAAAAACCATAACACAACAGGAATTTAATTTATTACCGGCTGTTAAATACCGTTGGTATTAATGGATAAATCGTAGGTAATATATTTGCCGACGGTTTAGCTCATACAAAGCCAACGTAGCAAAAACACTTGGGATTTAACGACGGTTTACATTAATCAATGGTTAACCGGCGTACTATAACCGTTGCTATATATTAAAAAATATGTTTTGTTTAATCGTAGCTTGACCGTCGTTTATATAAGCTGGCGAAATTGTCGGTAAGAAAAGTATTGCAGTTCCATCGACAATTTGTCGCGATTCTGTCAGTTTCTTCAAATCGTAGGTTAACCGTGGGAATTTATTAATGACTATGTACGTAGCAAAAGTGCAGCACTTCGGCCAATAGTCGCATGTTCAATAGACCGTCGGAAAACCTTCGCTTGTTCAATAAACCATTGTAAAATCATTGATAAGTCGTCGAAAACCTGTACCATCAGAAAAAAAAAATGTCATCTTTCAACGCTACAATCTACACACCTACAATCATAACAAATCAATCAAAACACAACACAACATAGTAACAAAACTAATTAACACATAAACCATATATAGAAATAAAAAAAATAATTGAATTTAAATAAACAAAATGTACAACTACACAATAAAACTAATGTTTGCTAATAATAAATTGTTTAATATACAACCAAACAAAAAATAACCCCCTACTCATCCTCCTCATCATCCTATGTCCTCTCATCATCATTATCATCTCCACCCTCATCTTGAACTGACTTCTTCCCTTTCAGCAGTTTCAAACACATCACTGCTTCGATCTCTGCCCTCATCTCCGATCTCAGGGTGGCTAAATGTTCAGCAATCTGATGATGCATCTCCTCATTCGGTGAAGTGGAAGTGGATGCACCAGATGTGCTAGGGGTTTGGCAGACATCATAAACCTGCGCCTAGAACCCTAACCCGTAGACCTTACCCTTCTTCTTTCTGCCAATAGCCTCCCTCCTAAGGTCGTGCTAAGAAGGATCGTGAGATGTGTTCGAACCACAAGCCGATTGTTGAGACCGACTTTCCTTGAGCCTCAGGAAGGTCTTCTACAAAATATATGATTAATTAAAGTGAGAGACTAAATAAATTTTGATATTTATTTGAATTTATACTTAATAATCTTGTGAATTGCTTGGGTCGCTTTTAATCTGCTTTCCACCCAGGACTAATCTGACTGCTGCTTATGTGTGTGCTTATGTGACTCTGTAGCAGTTGCCTCCCATTCTTTCTCTAGAGTCTTACAATTCTCCTCTTATATTTCGTACATGGGAGGGGG